GGTGGCCTTTTGGCTCCACCGGTGGTAGCGGCCCAAAGCCGATAATCAATTTTCTAATGCCATCCTCCCACTTTATTGTAGGCGCCCACTTGTCCAGCCATGCAAGTCCCAATATAATTGGTTCCTGCATTCTTGGAGCTACAATGAATCTGAGNAAGGGGGGTTGGAGCGAGTGGTGTTTATCAGCTTGCTTTTTGTAGGCTTCTGCCACATCTGCTAGAGCCTTCTTCGTATTTTCCCATCCTTTCTTTAGTGTCTCCATCCATTCATTCAAAGACATGGAGGAGGGAGGTTCTCTAGGAAGCTCAGGCATGGGAACAAATTCCGTGCCACTGGCAATCTGGAAAGGAGTTAATCCAGTGCTGCTGTGGACCGCATTGTTGTACGCCACTTCGGCAAAAGGTAGCAAGTCCGTCCAGTTGTCTTGCTGATAGCCCACATAACACCGGATGTATTGTTCCACCATTGCATTGGCCCTCTTCGCTGCGCCGTTCGTGTTGTGATGAAAAGCTGAGCTGAGTCCTTGTGTGGACCCGATGGATCTCAGGCATTCTCTCCAGAACTTGGCAGTGAACTGAACTCCGCGGTCTGAAATGATCCTCTTGGGCACCCCGTGCAGGCGATAAATGTGTTTCACAAACATTTTCACTAATTTCTTTGCGGATGGCAGCCCTGAGCAAGCAATGAAATGCGCCTGCTTGGAAAACAAATCAATAACTGTCCAGATTACTCTATTTCCACTGCTGTCTGGGAGTTCGACAATGAAGTCCATTGCGATCTCTTCCTATGGTCGGCTAGGGCTGGCCACTCGTTGTAGTAGTCCAGGGGGCTTTCCCAGTCATGTTTTCATTTTTGCACAAGTAGCACAGCTTTTTACATAATCTTCCACCTCCGATTTCATCCTTGGCCACCAAAATTGACTCCTGGCAAGGTGGAGCGTTTTTAGGAATCCAAAGTGGCCACCAAATTTTGCATCATGGCTTCGCTGTAGGACTTCCAGCCTCAACCCCGCAGGGACATACAGTTTGGACCCCTTCCAGGCTAAACCACCACTTATCGTTAGGATGTCCTTGTTATTGTTGAACTACAGGTCTGCCGGGAATACTGCTTTGAACTCTGTCATCAGCTTATCTTGGCGTCNCAGTTTCAGATGAAGGAAAACTGTAGACTCAAGTGAGAATTGTGAGCAAAAAGTGGAAGTCCATAGTCACTGTATCTCTCTCCTCCGCACAAGGAATTCCCTCGCCTGACCCATACCAGGACAGGGCTGGCTGCTGTCTCTACCAGAAAATGAGCGTATCAGGTAAGAACCAATGCCCATTTTCCTGTTATCGTAGAGACAGCAGCCAGACTGGGACATACCAAAGACTGGGCTGTCCACTAGGGTGGGAAATTGTAAAAAAGGTCTGTTAGGGCACAAGCACTTGTTGTAGCACTCTGCACCCAAAAGCCGCGTCAGCCGATGCATACTTGTCCAACGTGTAATGTAAAATCAGAAATACGTCTGGCTGAGGTTACAGCCACCAAAAACAGTGTTTTAAAGGACAACAGTTTCAAAGAAGTGGATCTCATAGGTTCAAAGGGCATGGACGTCAAAGCCTCTAGGACACGAGGTAAGTCCCAGGTCGGATATCTATGTATGGCAGGGGGACGCAGGTGGGACGCTCCACAGAGAAATCTCCGGATCAAGGGGTGAGAAGGCAGATGTTCGGATGCCAGGCCATCCAGAAAGGAGGCCAGAGCAGCCACCTGTCAGCGTAGCGTGTTAGGTGTAAGTCCCTGATCAAGCCCCCTCTGCAGGAAGTCCAATATCTGTGGAATGGATGCCCTAAGTGGGTCAACAGTCTGGTTGGAACACCACAGAGCAAAAGTCCACCACGTGGCATCATAAATGCGGTTAGTAGAGTTTCTGCGTGATGCCTGAATGGTAGCAATGATGTTGAGGGAGATGTTATCGGCTGTTAAGGCTTGCCGCTCAATCGCCATGCGGTTAATTGCAGCCACTGGGGGTCGGGATGACCCTTGGTGTAGAGACAGGAGAGACCGTGGGATTTGCCATGGGGTGGAGATTGACAGAGTCACTAGGTCGGCATGCCAAGGCCGGCGTGGCCAATTCGACACTGGCAGCAACAGTTCTGCCTCCTGCTCCAGCATTTTTTGAATTACCCTCTGAATGAGGGGAAGGGGAGGAAATGCGTACAGGAGACCCCTGGGCCACNCCCACTTGTCCAGCCATGCAAGTCCCAATATAATTGGTTCCTGCATTCTTGGAGCTACAATGAATCTGAGGAATTCATAGTGGCGGCTTATCATCAACTTTACCAACTCGGTAATTTTTGTGGCTGAGGCCCCTCCAATCAGTGTTCCATCCACTTGCTTGAACCGAATGGGATGGTTTAGGGGTCCTGTACGTATACCTAGTTGCTCCACAATCGACATGCTGATTAAGCATTGGGTGCAGCCGGTGTCCACAATTGCCCCAACTTCCCCTTCCACTCCCGTTTCTTGCACTTGGAGGTTGCATTTTATTGTAAAGGGGTGGATGGGTGCACTAATCATTGGGTCATCTTCGGCATTCTCCTCCTCCGAGGCCTTATCCTTGGTAGGACTCTTGGTCACCTTAGGTTGGGGATCCCCTTCCGGAGGTTGTTGGCCCAGAAGACTCTTCTGTGGTAGCTTCTGGGGCCTTCTCTTTACCGCTCTGGTGGTTGGTGCACACGTTTGTGATATTGGGGCTGGAGCCAAGCATTCTGACGCTCTGTGGCCAAATTGACAGCAACGCTGGCATTTTATTGGCTTTCCACGAGGGACGGAACCTAGTTGCATTTCTAACCTTAGGAACCACCTCTTCACATTGTTCTGCTACCCAGCCTGCAGTAATCCCCTCATTCATCTCTTCTTCCACTGTTGAGAACTCTTCTCTGTAGGAAGGTGGGGTAAGAACCTGCTGGGGCATTGCAAGTGCACATTGTCCCGCCATCCATCTTGCAAAAGATTAAAATTGGTCAGATCAGGGAGACTTAATTCTTCTGATGGAAAGGCATTGAGAGAGACAGCAGAAGGATCTCTTCAGTGGCTCTCAGAGAGCTTTCAACCATGAAGGTCTAGCGAGGCTTCCAGTTTGAGATTGCTTGCTGATGGGAGCTGGTCGTTACAGCTCCAGAATCCTGGACATGTTTATCTGTCAGATGAGCCATCCATCAGCCATCTGACAGCTTGTTTACCTTATTTTTCGGGCCAAGGAGATAAGGTGAGCTTTATGCCGGGCAACGTGCCAACCAATTCTCACAGATTGTCTCTGGGAGGGGGCGGGGGGGAGGCCAGCTGACGGCAGAATTTTCTCCGTGCCAGGAATTCCTGCTGCATTAGCAGCACAAAGCAACACTCAAATCCTCAGAACAAAACTTGATTTATTGAGTCCAACACGAGCGGACNAGGGAGAAGAAAGTGTTGGATAAGGCACAAATATGGTGTATGGAGAGCAGAAGAGCCAATAATCGTGTTTTTTTGGGGGGGAGCTGATGGTAAGATGAATTGATGTAAATATTTAACAACACAACATGATATTGGCTATGTAATAGTATACATGTGAATATATGTTATGAAAATGGAAAATAAAGTTTTCATATGAACAGAGTTCCTCTTTTTTGCTTCCCACTATTTCTCTCTTTGCTTTTAGGTTGTTCTTTTCTTGTATAGTATTTTCCTTTTTCTCTCTCTGCTCTTTTTGTGTCTCTATAAATCTCAGTGAGATTGCCTAGCTGGCTTTTATTTTCAGTTTTTTTCCCCACACTATTAGTCTTTTGCCTCTCTTTTATATTTCCCTTTATCAGTTCCTCTCCAAAATCCTGTTCTATATGTTTCAATGCTTTTTCTGGTTCTTTAATACCTTTAGTGTTGAGCGTGCATCTTTTAACATTTCAAGTATTTCTTCAAACATCCCACATTCCATGTTCAAATTTAGCAAATTTAAGACGTTTTTGATATTTTTATATTTTACCACATTTAATTGAGTCTCTCTCTTATTTCCAAAAAAATTTCCAGCTGTAGTATCCTATCCCAGGGTAAGTCAGTCCATTTCAAAACATTCAATGTTCTTTCTCAGTTGTAACAAAGCGAAGTCAAAACAACAGGGAAAAGCCATATACTCCTTAGAAGGATTTCCACTTATCTTTTCTGTATTCAAGGTTAATTTTTTCCAAATGGGCAGTCACCATTATTTTTCCTTTCTTTCCCCTCTCTTCGTTTTCCCAGTGCTGCTTAGCTGCTGCTTTAAATCTCTGTAAAAAATTTTTGAAGTTCCAAATTAAAAGTTTTTCTTTACCCTTGGGTTGGCCAGCCTTCTTCCCGATCTCCACACTCCATCTGGTCACCGCTTTTGCTCTAAACTTGGTCCGGATGCCCCAGCTTCAGAGCAGTCATTGAAGATGGCCCCAACCCCGCCGCCGGTCTAGAGAGCTTGTTTCGGACCTGCCAAGGAGCTTGCCTTGCTCCGCGCGGTCACAAAAATGCCTCTCTTTCTTCGCCATCCCTTCAGGATGGTTCTGGCCCAAAGGCCTCCCGATAGCGATTCGCCAGCTGGGGGTTTTCGGGGGACTCCTCAGAGCTTGCTATTTCCCCTGCCATTCCACCACGACGCTTCCGGTTTTCCCTTACATAGTGGTTATTTTTGTTGGGAATGGGCGTTGGTTCTTACCTGATACGCTCATTTTCTGGTAGAGTAGAGACAGCAGCCAGACTGGGTATGCTCCGTCCATTAACCAATCGGACTGAGTCTACACTTATGATGTCATTGGGNTCCCAATTACTACACTAATGAAACAGCATAGTGAAATAATAGAAAGTGTGGCAGGCCAAAGATCCTAAAAGGAACATAACTACAGGCCTGACAAGATCTGTGTTACAGATCTGGCTGCAAAGAGAAGAACCAAGCGATGTTGCTTTCCTGAAGTGCCTTTTCCTTGCCCCTTGTTAAAGAAAAGAAACAAAAACAACCTAACCTTTCACAGCTTTCAGTGGATATGGAAACTCTAGACGCTCCACTGCCGACAGGGCAGCGAGGTAATCAGCAGCACTTTCTGCGTCAGGGAAGCATTTGTTTGAAGCTTGGTAGCAAAGACGGTTGTCAATCTCAAGGGTGACCTCAGACCTAGAGAAAGCGGCAAGGGTTATCAGGGTCTCCTTTAGCGTCCTGGAGAATTCCAGGGAAAGACAAAAGTCCAGTTACCTCCTTTGCGTTTTGTTTTACTCTCTGTTCAGCCTTAAGTCCACGGAATAGGCCTGACTGGACATATTTGGTTTTCGTGCAGTCATTCCCCAATGTGAATTATGGATGAACTTGCTTCTAAGTTATATTAATCCTTTTAAAAACCCAAATATATTTTAAGTTTTATAAAAGGCATGCTGTACCCTTGTGTAACAGCTGATTTAGCTCATTTGTTCATCTCTTTATGCTACTGTTTAATTATCATGAACTGGCTTCTGGGGATCTATCACTCTCTTAAGAAGCTTGTTTAATGTCGTTCTTTTTTAAAAAATGAAGCAGAGTTATTAACTGTCAGATTTTATAGGACAGGCAGGGACAACTGGATAAAAGTGGCCCAAGAGATAAGTGGGCCCCAAGGCATGTTGGGCTTTATAGATGAAATCCAGCATTTCGAAATGCAGTCTACAAGCCAGGAGTAACTGGGGTAATTTGAAGAGCAGAGATGTTGCAGGGGCAACCTGAACTATACTTGTCATTGCTTTTCTGTGGCCATATTCTGGACCAGTTATAGCTTCCAAGTGATCTTCAAGGACAGTCCTATCTAGAGCCTCCTAACAAATAGGGATTATAGTAGACAGGTAGCACTCATTTAGCAGCTACAAATGGGAATCTGGCACTCTCCAAGAAGCCAGAAGTTTTAATGTAGTTTTAAAAACAAAGCACCGTTATTAAGCAGCAGATTTTATAGGGGACCGATTGCTCTGTCATGGAGCAAAGCAGTACTAAGTGGGAAACCATGTGACCACAACTGTGCTTTCCTTTTCCCTGCTTCCCTACCCTTTGGAATTGTCCCAGAGCTAGGATAATTAGCAAGGAGGGAATTAAAACCTGTATTTAGGTTCACTGGAAAAGCAGCAATTATAGGAGAGCAAGTAGGGGAAATACACACTGAAAGGAGTGCCTCAGTTAACAGCCCACTACACAAAGAGCCCAGTGTATTCATTATTATGTGCCTGCTTATTATAATGTGATCCTTTCCTCTTCACTCTCTCTGCTCTGGCGGGAAAGATAACATTTTTAACTGCACTTTCCCCTCTGTCTGACTCTTTTTTTTTCTTCCCCTCATCCTAGAGGGAAGAAATTAGAGAGGAAGGGATTACAAGAGAGCAAGCAGGCACACCATAGAAAATACACCGGGCAGCAGGCTTAGCATGCACGCTCCCAGCCCCAACTACACTCTTTTTGATGTGTATTCCTCATATGCTTACTTGTTCTCTTGTAATCCCTTCCTCTCCAATCTCTCCCCTCTGAAAGGTGGTAGGGATAACAAGTCAGGCACAGGACAAGGCATATTGACTAACTATAATGGCAATCACATGACTGAGAAACACTGTGATAAGTTATTTTTTCAGCACTGTGGTAATTTTGAACTTGACCAAGGCAGCTGATAAGCTTAGGGGACCTGCAGTTCATAATAAAATGAGCTTACTTATCTTACTCTCAAAACTCTTCTTTTTTTACTGCATAAAACTCACCCAATTATTTCTTGGCCCAGTTCCCTGCGTAGTCGTCGCCCAGTTCCATAATAAGGTTTGATCATGTAGTCGCCATTCTCATCTAGACGGAATCTCAGGGAGGTCCTTAAAATGGCACTCAGCTTCTGCAGGAAGATGGTGCTGGTGCGGAGCAGTTCATCAGGATGCAACAGCACGGTGATGATTAGAACCCCATCTGCCAAGTGCTCAGGCACTTCCCGTGCACAATCCAGCCCATCCCAGCCGCACTCTTCATTATTACAGCCTTGGTCACAATTCCCATCAGCAAAGTGATCTGAGCAGTATTTCTCATAAATAGGGCTGTAAAAGAGAAAGGAGATGGAAATGTAAAACAAATCCTATCGTAACACAAAATGTATCCTTCGTTGACAAAGAACCATGAAGGAGTTGCAGGGAATACCTTTCCATATGCACCACAAATCAACCAACTGAGTCATCAGGATTACATATATTGAGACAGCTCACCCTCCCCCAAAAGAAAGATATCTAGAATGAGGAGGGAGGAAAATACATGTTCGGAACAAAATCTCACTGTGTCATTCAGTTAATCTAGCAGAAGAATGCATACTCTTAGTTCTAACAAGCACTAGGGAAATATGACCTACAGGCTCCCCTTCAAAGACATAGGCAGAACTCACTTGCAGGTGCGCTCACGATTCTTGCAGTCAAAGTTGTCATAAAGACACTCAACGGTATTGCAGAGTTCATCACACTGACTATTGTTGAAGAACTGCCAGCACTGAGGGCTCTCACACTGCTTCCAAGGATTATCCACCAAAAGAGAACAGTCACCTCCATCCCAGCGACAAGCTGGGCTATTGCACATCTTGTCACAATAGGAGTCCGCTGCCTTTGCAGCACACTCTTCCAATGGACAATGGAGCTCAGGGTGCAGAGATGGCCGTGCGGTGCGTGCAGTTTGACAGCGAACACCTGTGTAGTCACCAGGACAAAGGCACTGAAAATAGGGGGGAGTGGCAATCTCATGGCAGACACCCCCATTGTGGCAAGGTTGATTGACACAACTGCTATTGGCACGGATGCGACAATCAGGTCCAATCCATCCAGGAAGGCAGTAACAGTGGGCACCTAGAGGGGAAGGCCGGCAGTTGCCACCATTGAAACAGAAGAATTCTCGGCAAGAGAACACACTGCGCTCACAATTGGTGCCCAAGTAGCTCTGAAAAAGAAGCATAAGAAGAAGAGATCGTAAAGAAAGTCAGACAAACAAAATACCGATCAATAAAGTATCTCTGATAGAGTGTGCCCCTTCTTGCAACTGTCACTCTGGTAAGAAAAACCTTTCCCACTCAAAGTTTAAGAATCATATTCATATACCTATACTACTACATATTTCTCTTGTAGAAACTATAGCCAGATCTGGAATCGCTTGTTTTCTAATACTCCCCAAACAGGAATAGCATTCTGACCATCATTAAATGTCAGCTTCTTCACTCATAGCACAGCTTCAGTGTATCCACCTTACGTTCCTCCCTATTTCACTCTTCCTTGCTCTGCTTAATTCCTTATAATATTTATACACAGGGAACTTTGGTGTCGAACATATAGCCTTGCGCTAAGTACTCACCCGAGGGCACTGGCAGGTATATCCGAGAGGCAAGTTTACTGCCAGTTTACATTGCCCACCGTTCTGGCAAGGCTGAGATTCACATGCATTCACAATGTTTTTGCAGTGGCGGCCTAAAAGGGAGAAAAAAATGTTATTCTGCCAATGATACTGCAAACTTTTCAGAACACATCACCCTATTAAATGTGACACATATTTTAGTACCAGCTTCTGTACCTGATTCACATAAATGCCTACTGAGCTCTATCAACATTTAACTAGCAACTGAGTATATTTTTCCCCAATTAGGGATAAATTATAAAAGTATTCAACCAGTCAGGCACAGCTACTTTTCTCTTATTGATCACCAAACTCTCCCTCCTTCCCTCTGTGTATATGTGTGTTGTTGTTGAACCACAGCTCCCAAAATTTCTAAGAAACCTAACCAATTCTAGGAATTATAGTTCAATTCCCGGAGGTTGTCTCTCTGTGATCACCATCTTATCAGATATAATTTGGATTCCCTATCATGAAAATGTAATGGCAGCAAAATACAGCTATACATATGTGACCTTAGACTCATTTAATGTGAGTTACAGAATACAAATCAAACTCAAAACTCAAGCAAATGGAAAGCAAGCTGAAATAGAATGCACAAGTGACTATATATTAATCGTATAAGTTAAAGTTAACCTGGAAATGCCCCACAGATCATAGAATGCAAAGCTTTCAATTTGAAAAATGCAAAAGAAATATACTTGAGATAGACCAAATAGAAAAACAAATCAACCGTACTTGGGGGGTTCCAGCAGAATAAATATGTGATTATTTAAAAGCATTGTTCCATAAGATTATCATGAAAAACATGAATAGAAGTGCAATAGACTAGAATAGAACAGAATTGTTTATTGGCCAAGTGTTATTGGACACACAAGGAATTTGTCTTTGATGCATATGCCCTCAGTGTACATAAAGACATGAAAAGATACATAATTCATGACTCATGAGAATCCAGAGAAGTTTAGGTAAAATATACACATATTTATTCATCTGCTACTTTGCTAAAATAGATGATCAATTACTCAGAGAAACAAAATATTTTCTTGTGACACCTTTGCCAGAATGCCTGAATGCTCATTTTGTGGTTTTTTGAAGCCCAAGTCACCAAATAGTGACTTTCCAAGGGCAACTCATAAAAAATTTCATACAATTTTAATGCTTTTTCCTGCTGACATTAATTTTAGCCTGTCTTTTCTGCTCTCCACTGCAGCCCAGCTTCACACATTCTTCCTTGCCCATTGAATCCATCACATTCACTTTATTGGCACCCTTACTCACCGGTGTAGCCTGGCTTGCAAATGCACTGGTAGTCACGGGCTTCTTGAATGCAGTCCAGGGTGTTGCGCGGATGGCAGGGATTGGACTGACATTCATTTATATCTCCCTCACAACGCTCGCCTGTAAAGCCTGGTGGGCAGCTGCATCGGTAGCCACCCACTCTGTCCACACATGTTCCATTGTTCAGGCATTTGGGGACGCGGCTAATAGGATTCGTGGCACAGTCATCCTCATTTATTTCACACAAGACACCTAAAGAGATAAATAACAAACAATCATACCAAACATTCTAATACTATGTACCCCAAACATTTCCCCACCTCTTGAACTGCCTGTCATAAGAAAAAAAAATTCTGAAGGTGAGAAAACACCATCTGGTCTATTCAAAGTGTATTCAGTTCCGGCTCCCATCAATACTACTAATGTAACAAAAGCTATTAACAACAAAAGCTGTAACAATTGTTATTGTAATGCAGTGTTTCTCTTTCTTATTACCTGAATAGAAACACTGGGTAGGAAATCAACCATTTTCCAAATAGAAAAGAATTACAATAATCTCTGATGGTCAGCCATGATGGCTAGAGGCTAATGAGAGTCTATATTCAGGAAAGTCATCAACTATTCACAGTTGGAAAAAGTCCAGTTCTTTCAAATGAGCTCATATTCTCTATTAAGTGATTTAAGAAAAAAAAAATCCAGGTCTCCTCTTCACATAAGTAAATGAAAGTCAGAGCTGCCTTGGTTAAATCTAATATATGTCCCTCTGTGTCTTATGCTTTCAACCTAAAAATATTAACAATGTTGCAAGCAACAAAAAGAGCCTTTATCCCACTCCCCTCAAAAAGTCACCTGCTTACCTAGTGTCCCTGGTGGGCAGGAACAAATGTAGCGACCAGTGAGGTCAATGCAAGTTCCACCATTCTGGCATGGATGTGACTGACATTCATCAATATCAAATTCACAGTTTTTCCCCTCAAAGCCTAGAGGACACTAAAATGAGAGAAAAAAGGTAAAGATAATAAGACAAAGTGTTATTAAAAACATACTTTCAAAGTACCTCTTCTCCATTCTTCATTAAATCAAGAATACTGAATAAGACTTAGAATTTTTTAAACGGTTCCAATATATGCTCATCATACAGATAATAGTTTGCCTTAACAGCATTAGAAATAACATAGAGCAGAGCAAAAATATATCATCCACATAATTGTAAACAATGGTGCAAAATGCCTATTTTTAATAGCAAGTAGTGATACCTCAATTGTGAGGAAGAGGAGAATTTTGTGACCTAATGTGCTGTGAAAGCTGTACGAGACAGAATTGCACGGGGGCAAAGATGTTAAGGCTGCACGTCAAACATGTGAGCAGAATAGAAGTTGGGAGGTGAATTGGGTTATTTGCCCTTTTAACTGTGATTTGCCTATTTAAGGACAAGTGAGACACCATTTTCCCCACGTCTCCCGTTTAAAACAATGAGAAACCATTAATAGCTTTCAATCATGTTCAGAGTTTTTCCATGGTTGCCTACCTGATTTACCATAGTACATATGAACAGAAAGGTGCTCTCCATTCCTTTTACACTTATGGTAAATTATAGAAAAACTCTTAAAACACTTCCCTGCCTGCCACAGGACATCTGCCTATAGCTGGCAGCTACATTTCAAGGTAATTCCCTGAAACTAGCTTTGTCTTTAGCCTTGATTCAGACAGTAATGTAAATGCAGTCATTCTCCAGAACCAATCATACTGTAGAAATAACTAAATAACTATAAGAGTTATTTGGAAGAGATTAATATGCTCTTTTATTACCTAAAGCCCTTCTTTCATTGAATTTGATAGGCCAGCAATATTTTTACCATAGGAAAATATATTAAGACTAGAATAGAATAGAATTCTTTATTGGCCAAGTGTGATTGGACACACAAGGAATTTGTCCTTGGTGCATATGCTCCCAGTGTACATAGAAAGACGGCAAGAATCATAAGGTACAACACTTAATGATAGTTATAGGGTACAAATAAGCAATCAGGAAACAATCAATATCAATATAAATCATAAGGATACAAGCAACTAAGTTACAGTCCTGCAGTCATAAGTGGGAGGAGATGGGTGATAGGAACGATGAGAAGACTAATAGTAATAGTAATGCAGCCTTAGTGAATAGTTTGACAGTGGTGAGGGAATTATTTGTTTAGCAGAGTAATGGCGTTTGGGGAAAAAATGTGAGGGGTCTGTAAATATTTTCATGGCCCTCTTTTTGACTCATGCAGTGTACAGGTCCTCAATGGAAGGCAGGCTGGCAGTAATTGTTTTTTGTGCAGTTCTGATTATCCTCTGAAATCTGTGTCTGTCTTGTTGGGTTGCAGCACCAAACCAGACAGTTATAGAGATGCAATGATTTAAGAAAAGATGACAAAGACAAAGTGGGTGTAGAATGGTAGCAAAAGGGTTGTGTTAATACCCAGTTGTGATTCCTCCCACGCCCCACTTCGAAGACTGGTAGAAACTGTCATCCAAGTACTGAATAGTTAAGTATAGATGGAAAACGTTTAACTTTCCAGATTTTCTTAAATTATAAGCCTTCCCTATCCAACCAGGGTAACAATTGCATTTGTTTCTATTTTGCAAAATTAGTTGTATACAGTTTCTACTTGCTTAGTGAAATCTGAAAGATCACTGAAGGTACCAGTTTGATCTAGCCCTTGGTTACAACAAAAATCCAAGAAACAATGTAAAGTATTTTACTGTTCACATACCCTGAATTAAGGGATTACAGGGTTGTAAAAAGGGAGTTATTCAGTGCTGATGAGGAATATCAAATATGCATAAATGTTACACTGTGTGTTGAAACAGCAACAACAGAAAACAACTGCAGTATTTTATGAAGTAATGTACTCAACCCAGGGGCAACACAGACCATTGGGAGATAGTTGTTTTTTTAATCTTATTTTACATTGATTGGAAAAATAAGGTTTGTGCCAGTTCCTTGGCTCCCAATCTTCGCAAAATCCTCTTGCAATGTTAGGGCCTTCAACCCTTTCTTTATGGAGCAGCACTTTCCCTAGAACATAAGCTAGGTTGTCTGCCTGATATGGCTGGCTAGGCCTTCCTCACCTCACAGACATAACCTCCCACAAAACTGCGGCAGGTACCCCCATTCCGACATAGGCTGTGCTGGCAGTGATTGACCTCACTCTCACAGTAGCTGCCAGTGTAGCTCTTCTTGCAAATACAGTAGTGTGTATTGCCAGCATCCACACAACGGCCTCCATAATGGCACACTTGTTCCTTGGTCACACCTATGCCGAGAAAAAGAGAATTACTCACTGTGTACTCTCAACCTATCCTCTGTACCACTTCCTAAAAGAACTAAACAGAATGAGCGAGAACAAAGAAAGTGAAGAAAAATGAAACAACTATACATAATTAAAATTATTTATGCTCTGAGCCTTTGAAAATAGCTGGAATTCCTTCTAAGTTCAAATTTCTTGAGGAAAAACACACTTTTCCAGCATTTCTAAAATTTGATTCCTATTTCTCTTTAAAGGCTACATTTACTGTTCTCATTGGCATCATTTGGGGGGAATTGAATATGTTTATAAAATAAATAAAATAAGTGTGGCAGATTTAAAAAGTGAAAGATTATATAATATACTTGATATAGCCAGAGCAAGGGCTTTCAATTGTTTTCAGGTTACACAATGATTTAGAAATTAAAAAATGATTTAGAAACATTCTTGAAAACCTTGGCCATGACGCAACACTTTAGTGATAGAAAATTGCCTGTGTTTGAGTAAACATCTTCCCCTAAATCCTTCACAGAACCCTCAAATTCTCAAGTGACCCCAGGATTCCATGGAACGTAATTTGAAACACTGTGAACTAGAGGGCCAAACAAACTGTAATCTCTATTGTACAGTTCATTGATTACCAAGACATTCAGTGTTGTTTAGCGATATCCCATTTTGAAATAAACATAATAAACATACTCGCTGACTAAACATTGAAACATCTGCTAATGCTGGATCTATTGTTGGGTCAAATAACATTAGCAATATTTGCACTATGGTTGGGAGAACATAGAAAATAAAATTTCATGGAAGTGACATATTTTATGGACACTCCGAGGAACTGCAGTTGGAAGATTAATTGGTGGCTCAGTGCATTTAAAGACTTTGTCCCAGTAGCTCTGAAATATTTGAACAGTGAGTACAAGATGATGATGTTCAGAAGCCTGGATAATTAACAACCCACATTTGAGTTGGTGGCTGAGACATTTTCACTATGAGCACAAGTAGCAGGGTTGTAGAGGAACAGACAACTTGGAAATGAACTGGAGCAGAAAGATCCTTACCTCGGTTCCTCGCTACCACTTCACAAGAAACATTTGGGATGTCACAGTAACGGCCAGTCCAGCCTCCAGGGCAATCACAGGATAAAGTAGCACCCGACTGTATGCAGTGCCCACCATTTTGACAGGGGGAGCGGCTACACAAATCCAGAAGGTTCTGGAAGGGCAAAACAATGCAAGAATATGTGACAAAATATTGTGGTCTTACCAACGTCAAACACTCATCTTCCCTTTGTATTGAGCTACTATGGTAAATATCCTTTAGTCTCAGATTTTCTGGTAGACAACTTGCTTACTTTAGATAAACTCTAAAGATGTAACTTGTTTTCATCTCAAATTACCTGGCACTGAGGACCTGTGTAGCCCTGAGGACAGGTGCAACGATAGGACTGCACACCATCATGGCACACCCCACCATTGAGGCAGGGCTGTGATTGGCACTCATCAATCTCATGCTGGCAATGGGTGCCTGTGAAGCCAGCACGACAGTGGCATGTGTATGAATTTACTCCATCCAAGCATGTTCCACCATTGAAGCAAGAGCTGCCAGAGGATAAACAGAGAAATACAAAATGACAGAGACCAGTGAGACTTTCTAGCCTGAGTTTCCTCAAGAGAGATGTAACTTCTCCTAGGCTAAATATTTTGGCAAATAAATATCTAAAAGAATGATTTCTACTCTTATCTGAAAAATGAAACAATAAGAAAAGCCATTCTGTTCTCCAGACAGGCCCAGTAATTAATCTTTCCCCTTGCTCAATATTTAGGATTCAGTTTATCTACGACAGGCAACAACAATAGCACTCAGACTTGTATACTGCTTTACAGTCCTTTACATCCCTCTCTAAGAGTCAGCATATTGCCCCCAACAATTTGGGTCCTCATTTTACCGACTTCGGAAGGATGGAAGGCAGAGTCAACCTTGAACCTGGTGAGATTCGAATGGCCTAATAGCAGTCAGCCGGCAGTAGCCTGCAGTACTGCATTCTAACCAATGCGCCACTGTGGCTCATGGAACATTATAGGAAATCTTCCTACACTTTAACATCCTATGCTTTCTCCAATTTGACTATATGGTCTAGGAGCAGATAATTCAAAGGAACCGAGTTACAGAATTCAGAATTCAAGAGGACCATGTATATAAAATGATCTACTTCTCCATTTGAAAACTACTGAAAAATCTCCAGAATAACTTTCACCACTGTACTGTTTGGCTTTAGCGCTATGAAGGGAATCTAAGAGCCACACTGCACGCTGAACTGTTCAGCAACCTGCATTCACCACCACTGAGATTGTGAGCAAGACATGAGATGCTGAACCCTTAGAACAATACTCCTAACAATCTCACCTGTCAGTGCACTCCTGCACATTGTGCTCACAGTGTAAGCCAGCCCAGCCTGGGGAACAAGTACAAGTGTAGCTGTTGACATAGTCTGTACAGGTGGCCCCATTGCGGCAGGGGTTGCTCAGGCACTCATTAGTTTCAGTTGCACAGCGTGGTCCTGTGAAACCTGGCAGGCAAGTGCATGTGAAGGAACTGATGCCATCCTGACAGCCGCCACCATTCAGGCAAGGATCTATTGGCAGGGAGAACATTCAAAATGTTTTTTAATAAGCATAAGCATTCTTTTCTTTTACCAGGAAGTCTTCAGACAAATGACTAAATTCTGTATTTTGCATATTCTCATGCATTTAGCATAGTGGTGGTGAACTTACGGCATGGAGGCATGCCATGATGTTTTGGGTGTCACGCCAGTATTCCCCAACACCAAACAACTATTCTTAAAAACATGCCCTATTCTCATGACTTCTGGACACTAAGAGAATTGGTTGTGCTCTTGTGTCCACTCTGGAAGCTGGGCGAGAGGACTGTGCTTTTTGAACCCTCAGAAAATCTTGTGAGAAACAGAGCAAGCTTTCAGGTGATATTTGGAGGCTATGCAAGAATGGGTGGGCTCTTGTGTTGGGTCCTGGAAGAACATTTTTCCAAAGTTGTTTCAAGACTGAAGGCCTTGTGCAACCTGGAACAACCTTGTGAGAGTTGCAGGAGCCTCTCAAACAGAAAGAGAACACCATCTGAAGGTAAGTAGTGCATGGCAGATTTGGGGGAGAGCTGCAAGTCAATTATGTTGTTCCCTAAGACTTGTACACCTTGGGGTATGGCATAAGGTGACCTTTATGAGTGGAAGCAATGGAGCGAGAGCTGAAGTCAAGGCATCTGCTTCAAGCGTAATCTCAGCACTATCATTGATTGTTGCTGTTGAAAGTAATCTAGATCAGAGTTCACCAATATTTCGGACCTCAGGGACCACTAAATTTATAATTTTAAATCCCGCGGACCTCTAATAGGATTTTTTTTAAAAGATAAAATACCGTATTTTTTAGAGTATAAGATGCACCTTTTTCCCCGAAAAAAGAGGGAGAAAATCTGGATGCATCTTATACACTGAATAAAGCATTTTTGGCCTCCCAAAACCCCGCCCCCTTCACAAAAATGGATGGGCAGAGGCTTTGGGAGGCCTGCAAAGTGCTCCTGGGTGCTGGGGAGGGCAAAAACAAGCAAAAAAATTGCCATTTTTCCCTCTAGACTACAGCATTCTACAAGCTTCCCAAAGCCTACGTATGCTCTGTTTTTCGTAAAAAACAGACCGGCTCATTTTGAGGGGGGGCAGCCCCCAAGAGCACTTTGCAGGCCTCTCAAACTCTCTGCACGCCCCGTTTTTCACAAAAAAATGAGGCATACAGAGGGTTTGGGTGGTCTGCAGAGTGCAAAACCTTTTTAAAAAAAATTTACCTCTTCAAAATCTTGGTGCATCCTATACTCTGAAAAACGGTAGTATTTAGTGCAATATAAAAATGCAAATAATTTTTCTGCAGACCACCAAAAAATTTTCATGGATCACCAGTGGTCCATGGACCACTGATTGATCACCACTGATCTAGATTAACAGATTAACAGATTAACAGAGTTGGAAGGGACCTTGTAGTCCAACCCCCCACCCAAGCAGGAGACCCTACACCATTTCTGACAGGTGGCAGTCCAGTCTCTTCTTGAAAGCTTCCAGTGATAAAGCTCTCACAATTTCCGAAGGCAACTTCTGTTTCATTGGTTGATTGTTCTCACTGTCAGAAAATTTCTCCTTATTTCCAGGTTGAACCTCTCCTTGATCAGTTTCCATCCATTATTCCTTGTCTGGCCTTCAGGTGCTTTGGAAAAATAACTTGAATAGATGGGGGGGGGGCGCTGTGATAGAGAATTCTTTGTTTTTTGTTTGGTCTTTGTGTGGGAAAAAGAAAGACATGCCTGAAAAGTGAATTTAGGCATATTGCAAATTATAATACTGATGCCAAAAGTTCACCATCACTGATCTATCATCATAACTGCCTCTGGACTTCAGACTTAAGATCATTGCCAAAGCATTTAAATATGTCTAAATCTCACTGGAAATGAATGAAGGCGTTCCAAGTCTGGTTTCATGTGTCAGGATAAGTCAGAATTAGTTTTAAGAAAACAGTTGAACAAAGGCCTTGAGACTGTAGTTTGACAAGACAACAAGAAGGCAGGAATCTTAGGTCAGAAATAATGCCATACATCCTGTCTCAAAAAAACAATCTAGCAGGAGACCAAACTCTTTAGTTCCAATCAGATTCTTTCTTGTTTTTCCATGAATTCCATAAACTTACTAGGTGTGCAATCATCAATATCCATCTCACAATTGATGCCGGTGTAGCCAGGGCGGCAGGCGCATCTATAGCTGCCAAGGGTGTTGGTGCAAGTTCCCCTGTTTCGACATGGGTTCTGGTCACATTCATTAATGTCAATGTGGCATTGCTGCCCTATGGGAAGACAACAAAACGTATACAGTTGTTTTAAAGTGTTTGCCACTTTCTTTATCTTGTTTCCATTCAAAGCTATTCAAAATACAATACTCTGAAAGCGATGGGAGGAAAAGGACACATAGTCATAATACCTTGCCAGCCTGGTGCACAACTGCAAGTAAATCCTTCGTAATCAGGTGTATGGTCACAAACACCATTGTTCTCACATGGGTTAGGGTAGCAAGGAGCCAAGACATTCTCACAGTTCCGTCCTGGGGAAGGGGGGGAAATGAGAAGCCTGTCAAAGAGTATGTAGGTATTCCACTGGCCCAACATGAGAATATCTGGAGTTGCAAGTATAAGACTCCCAAGTGAACACAAAGGAAATTCCATGAACAGATGTTTAGCCACAAAGTGCCATGAGTGGGAATTTTGTTTCATATATAAGACATAAATAATTAAAGGTTTATTTACTACTATTTGTTGAAAAGAACTAATCTCTTTCTATGGGAAAGCGTATCTTGATATATGTCAAGCATCCAAGCCATAATATACTGCTGCTTACAAAATAGTGGTTTCTCTCCATAAACAATGGATACTGCTTCAATTTAAAGTTAAACCCAAAATAGAATTGCAGAACTGCCATAGACACATACTGGGCAATGCTGACGACCTTACCCGTTGTGAGAATTCACTCAACTTCCTCCCCTCCAGATGTTCTTATAGTATTATCTGACATCAATACTTAAACAAGGAAGATACCAAGATGTCAAGAAACCAAAGGCAAGATTACCAGCCTCTTTCTTCTTGCCCTGTTTTGTATGTACACATATACATTTATATCTTTTAGACTTTGTTTTGACACATATCTATTTCAACCTGGACTTCAACAACAACATGGAATGGCCAGTGTGGATTATGTATACATCTGAGATTTTTACACAATTAATACCAGAGCTATTATGATTGCATCATAGAAAGAAAAAGTACAGATTGTGAATATGGGCCATGATCCTTCCAGCTTCCAATCTAGTACTCAGTATCAATTATTTTTTGTGCATTTGCAATATTGATATAAGCAATTTCCAGAGGACAGGCTGGAACAAGAATTATGTTAACTCCCAAAGAAGCATCAAATCCACCAACCAACTCTATTGCAAAAAACTCTCCACTCACCAGTGTAGGGCAAGTCACACAGACAAGTATAACTGGCAATGCCATCAATACAGGTGCCCTGGTTGAGGCAGGGGCTAGAAGCACAGTCGTTTATATTGATCTGGCAGTAAGTCCCTGAAGAGAAAATGATAATCTTATTAATCCTATAAACTAAAACTTGAGAAGAAACCAGTGCCCTCATGCAGAATTGAAAGAAAGGGGAAATTGGTGTCCTGGTGGAATTATTTAGGGAAAAGCATGGGCAAGGTAAGCGCAGCAAGGTAAGCAGAGCAAGGAAGCATACCCTGGAAGCCTTCTTTGCATTTACAGCGATAGCCATTGACATAATCTGTGCAGGTGCCATAATGCTGACACGGATTGGATTCACACTCATTATGGTTCACGTCACAATTGGTTCCAGTCCAGCCTGGCTCACATTTACACTGGTACCTAAACAAAATAAAATCACCAAGTCAAGATTCCTCACATCTTCCAAAACAGTTCACCAAGGCCACTCAAATGGCTTATAGATGCAGATTTAATGCACTGCTTTCTTCTCAGTCACAAATCTCTCACAGGAATAAACCCTGCCCACTCCTGACCGACCAGCAGTTTTCCACAAAGGCAACCATCATCTGGACTTGGGCCTAGTGAAATCTCTCACCCATTGATGTCATCATGGCATGTGCCATGCACGCAGGGGCTGCTGCTGCACTCATCCACTTCTGAATAGCAATGTGGATCATGGAAACCCTCAGGACAAAGGCAAGAGAACCCATCTTCACCATCCACACAGGTACCACCATTCTTGCAGGGGTTGGATGCACATTCATTAATCTCTATGTTACACAGAGGACCTGAAAGGGGGGGAAAAAGACTGCTCAGCAATGAGATGATCAAGCTTATAGCTTTGAGGAACAGTAGGTCAGTTCGACTTTGCCTCCTGTACAAATTAAAATCAAACCCATAGAAAGCTACATTTATTTGGGGCACAAGTGCACTAGACCTATAAATGGCATATCAGGGGTGGGGTTATATATATTCCAAAACAAGTGGGTACATCACAAGCAATAATTTGATTTTGAATACTTTTAAGTTAAGAACTGGTAAAAATTTGTGCTCTTTATTTAATCCTTTTTCAATTTGTTACAGTTCAGCAACCATTTTTAGAAAGGCTAAATCTATTATCAGAGAGGCAACTTTAACCACATAGCATCCTGGATCCAAAGTTTGTGCATTTCTCTCCTACAGCCATTCTGAACCCCCCCAATTTCTAGCTGCAAAGCCAATTTCTAATCTATAAGCAGAATTATCTGTGCTATAATCCAATTTTACTGATTTTATAACGAATGCCTCCTTTCCTTTCTTGCCCCAGCCCACCAGCCAAGCATAACCCATCACCCAGCCATCACCTGTGAAGCCAGGTTTGCAGATGCAATCATAACGATTGATGCCATCACGGCAGTTCCCATAGTCACAAGGATTGCTGGCACAGTCATCAAAGTTTATCTCGCAGTTAGCACCTTAAAGGAAAGGACATATTATGGGTCTCAGAAAAGCAGCAGTCCTCCCCTCCCTTCACCAGGCTCCATGATAGCTGGATTTGTGTTTTGTGTTGACTAAATGACATGTGTATATGATAAGGTACGCTAGGACCTGTTAGCAACACTGTTCCCTCTAAGGTGCGCGCCTGCACGGCCGCGCACCTCGCAAGAAAAGCCCGCGCAGCAGATTCTATCTGCCGCGCAGAGTTTTCTGTAA